GGGAGATCACACAAACTCCACACAAACTCCACACAAATTCCACTCACTCACTCTGTAGAACAGGGGGAGATCACACAAACTCCACACAAACTCCACTCACTCTCACTCTGTAGAACAGGGGGAGATCACACAAACTCCACACAAACTCCACACAAACTCCATTCACTCTCACTCTGTAGAACAGTGGGAGATCACACAAACTCCACACAAACTCCACACAAACTCAACACAAACTCCATTCACTCTCACTCTGTAGAACAGGGGGAGATCACACAAACTCCACTCACTCACTCTGTAGAACAGGGGGAGATCACACAAATTCCACTCACACTCACTCTGTTGAACAATGGGAGATCACACAAACTCCACTCACTCACTCTGTAGAACAGTGGGAGATCACACAAACTCCACTCACTCACTCTGTAGAACAGGGGGAGATCACAAACTCCACTCACTCACTCTGTAGAACAGGGGGAGATCACACACACTCTACTCACTCACTCTGTAGAACAGGGGGAGATCACACAAACTCCACTCACTCACTCTGTAGAACAGCGGGAGATCACAAAAACTCCACTCACTCACTCACTCTTTAGAACAGTGGGAGATCACACAAACTCCACACAAACTCCACACAAACTCCACACAAACTCCACTCACTCACTTTGTAGAACAGGGGGAGATCACACAAACTCCACACAAAGTCCACTCACTCACTCTGCAGAACAGGGGGAGATCACACAAATTCCACTCACACTCACTCTGTTGAACAATGGGAGATCACACAAACTCCACTCACTCACTCTGTAGAACAGTGGGAGATCACACAAACTCCACTCACTCACTCTGTAGAACAGGGGGAGATCACAAACTCCACTCACTCACTCTGTAGAACAGGGGGAGATCACACACACTCTACTCACTCACTCTGTAGAACAGGGGGAGATCACACAAACTCCACTCACTCACTCTGTAGAACAGCGGGAGATCACAAAAACTCCACTCACTCACTCACTCTTTAGAACAGTGGGAGATCACACAAACTCCACACAAACTCCACACAAACTCCACACAAACTCCACTCACTCACTCACTCACTTTGTAGAACAGGGGGAGATCACACAAACTCCACACAAAGTCCACTCACTCACTCTGCAGAACAGGGGGAGATCACACAAACTCCACTCACACTCACTCTGTAGAACAGGGGGAGATCACACAAACTCCACTCACTCACTCTGTAGAACAGGGGGAGATCACACAAACTCCACACAAACTCCACACAAACTCCACTCACTCACTCTGTAGAACAGGGGGAGATCACACAAACTCCACTCACTCACTCACTCTGTAGAACAGGGGGAGATCACACAAACTCCACTCACTTACTCTGTAGAACAGGGGGAGATCAAACAAACTCCACACAAACTCCACACAAACTCCACACAAACTCTAAACAAACTCCACTCACTCACTCTGTAGAACAGCGGGAGATCACACAAACTCCACTCACACTCACTCTGTTGAACAATGGGAGATCACACAAACTCCACTCACTCACTCTGTAGAACAGGGGGAGATCACACAAACTCCACTCACTCACTCTGTAGAACAGGGTGAGATCATACAAACTCCACTCACTCACTCTGTAGAACAGTGGGAGATCACACAAACTCCACTCACTCACTCTGTAGAACAGGGGGAAATCACAAACTCAACTCACTCACTCTGTAGAACAGGGGGAGATCACACAAACTCTACTCACTCACTCACTCTGTAGAACAGGGGGAGATTACACAAACTCCACTCACTCACTCACTCTTTAGAACAGTGGGAGATCACACAAACTCTACTCACTCACTCTGTAGAACAGGGGGAGATCACACAAACTCCACTCACTCACTCACTCTTTAGAACAGTGGGAGATCACACAAACTCCACACGAACTCCACACAAACTCCACACAAACTCCACTCACTCACTCACTTTGTAGAACAGGGGGAGATCACACAAACTCCACTCACACTCACTCTGTAGAACTGGGGGAGATCACACAAACTCCACTCACTCACTCTGTAGAACTGGGGGAGATCACACAAACTCCACTCACTCACTCTGTAGAACTGGGGGAGATCACACAAACTCCACACAAACTCCACAAAGACTCCACTCACTCACTCACTCTTTAGAACAGTGGGAGATCACACAAACTCCACACAAACTCCACACAAACTCCACTCACTCACTCACTTTGTAGAACAGGGGGAGATCACACAAACTCCACTCACTCACTCTGCAGAACAGGGGGAGATCACACAAACTCCACTCACACTCACTCTGTAGAACTGGGGGAGATCACACAAACTCCACTCACTCACTCTGTAGAACTGGGGGAGATCACACAAACTCCACTCACTCACTCTGTAGAACAGGGGGAGATCACACAAACTCCACACAAACTCCACAAAAACTCCACTCACTCACTCTGTAGAACAGGGGGAGATCACACAAACTCCACTCACTCACTCACTCTGTAGAACAGGGGGAGATCACACAAACTCCACTCACTCACTCTGTAGAACAGGGGGAGATCACACAAACTCCACACAAACTCCACACAAACTCCACACAAACTCCACACAAACTCCACTCACTCACTCTGTAGAACAGCGGGAGATCACACAAACTCCACTCACTCACTCTGTAGAACAGGGGGAGATCACACAAACTCCACTCACTCACTATGTAGAACAGGGGGAGATCACACAAACTCCACACAAACTCCACACAAACTCCACACAAACCCCTCATGAACTCCACTCACTCACTCTGTAGAACAGTGGGAGATCACACAAACTCCACACAAACTCCACACAAACTCCACACAAACTCAACACAAACTCCACTCACTCTGTAGAACAGTGGGAGATCACACAAACTCCACTCACTCACTCTGTAGAACAGGGGGAGATCACACAAACTCCACTCACTCACTCTGTAGAACAGGGGGAGATCACACAAACTCCACTCACTCACTCACTCTTTAGAACAGTGGGAGATCACACAAACTCCACACAAACTCCACACAAACTCCACTCACTCACTCACTTTGTAGAACAGGGGGAGATCACACAAACTCCACACAAACTCCACTCACTCACTCTGCAGAACAGGGGGAGATCACACAAACTCCACTCACACTCACTCTGTAGAACAGGGGGAGATCACACAAACTCCACTCACTCACTCTGTAGAACAGGGGGAGATCACACAAACTCCACTCACTCACTCTGTAGAACAGGGGGAGATCACACAAACTCCACTCACTCACTCTGTAGAACAGGGGGAGATCACACAAACTCCACACAAACTCCACACAAACTCCACACAAACGCCACTCACTCTCACTTTGTAGAACAGGGGGAGATCACACAAACTCCACTCACTCACCCTGTAGAACAGGGGGAGATCACACAAACTCCAAACAAACTCCACACAAACTCCACACAAACTCCACACAAACTCCACTCACTCACTCTGTAGAACAGGGGGAGATCACACAAACTCCACTCACTCACTCACTCTGTAGAACAGGGCGAGATCACACAAACTCCACACAAACTCCACACAAACTCCACTCACTCACTCTGTAGAACAGGGGGAGATCACACAAACTCCACTCACTCTCACTCTGTAGAACAGGGGGAGATCACACAAACTCCACTCACTCACTCTGTAGAACAGGGGGAGATCACACAAACTCCACACAAACTCCACACAAACTCCACACAAACTCCACACAAACTCCACTCACTCTGTAGACTCTGTAGAACAGGGGGAGATCACACAAACTCCACTCACTCACTCTGTAGAACAGGGGGAGATCACACAAACTCCACACAAACTCCACACAAATTCCACTCACTCACTCTGTAGAACAGGGGGAGATCACACAAACTCCACTCACTCACTCTGTAGAACAGGGGGAGATCACACAAACTCCACACAAACTCCACACAAACTCCACACAAACTCCACACAAACTCCACTCACTCTGTAGAACAGGGGGAGATCACACAAACTCCACTCACTCACTCTGTAGAACAGGGGGAGATCACACAAACTCCACACAAACTCCACACAAATTCCACTCACTCACTCTGTAGAACAGGGGGAGATCACACAAACTCCACTCACTCACTCTGTAGAACAGGGGGAGATCACACAAACTCCACACAAACTCCACTCACTCTCACTCTGTAGAACAGGGGGAGATCACACAAACTCCACACAAACTCCACACAAACTCCATTCACTCTCACTCTGTAGAACAGTGGGAGATCACACAAACTCCACACAAACTCCACACAAACTCAACACAAACTCCATTCACTCTCACTCTGTAGAACAGGGGGAGATCACACAAACTCCACTCACTCACTCTGTAGAACAGGGGGAGATCACACAAACTCCACACAAACTCCACACAAACCCCTCATGAACTCCACTCACTCACTCTGTAGAACAGTGGGAGATCACACAAACTCCACTCACTCACTCTGTAGAACAGGGGGAGATCACACAAACTCCACTCACTCACTCTGTAGAACAGTGGGAGATCACACAAACTCCACACAAACTCCACACAAACTCCACACAAACAAACTCCACACAAACTCCTCACAATCTCGTGCCGACCCCAGCCACGCGTCCAACCCACCACCCCCCCCCCCCCCCCCCCCAAACGGGAGCCATTCTTGTCGCCCGGAGAACCTTCGCGCATCAAAACCCCGCGTCGTTCCGTCGTCCGCTCGCTCATTCATCCCTTTTTTTTGCGCGCCAGCGGTTGCGTGTTTTACGCTGACACAACAACCACTCACTCACGACACGCTGACGGGGACGGCGGTGAGGTGGCGGTTTCGCCGGTGGCGTGGTGCCAATGCAGCCTGTAGCCTGGAGCGCGCGTGGGGCTATGACTGCGTTCATTTCCACAGCGGCCGATGGGGCGCCGGCGGTGGTGCAAGCGCGACACTCAACGCCGCCGTTTGCGCGCATCGGCGACCTCGTTCGAGGGCCGGGGCAAAGTGCCCGCGGCAAAGTTGCCCGCGGCAAAGTTGCCCGCGGCAAAGTTGCCCGCGGCAAAGTTGCCCGCGGCAAAGTTGCCCGCGGCAAAGTTGCCCGCGGCAAAGTTGCCCGCGGCAAAGTTGCCCGCGGCAAAGTTGCACCGCGGCAAAGTGCCCGCGGCAAAGTTGCACCGCGGAAATGCCTCGCCGGCGATGATGCCGTCAGGGCGGCGAGGAACCGCCCGGGACGGCGGTGGCGGCGCTCTCCGCTTAGCCGCGCGGAGATTTCAGATGCTCTACACGCAACACGATACACTACACTATACACTACACTAGACACTACACTATACACTACACTATAAACCACTACATTATTCACTACACTATACACTACACTATACACTACACTATACACTACACTATACACTTCACAACACTATACACTACTATACACTACACTATACACTACACTATACACTACTATACACTATATACGACACTATACACTACTATACACTATACACTACACTATACACTGCTATACACTACACTATACACTACACAATACTATACACTACTATACACTATTCACTACACTATACACTACACTATACACTACTATACACTATACTCTACACTATACACTACACCATACACTGCACTATACGCTACACTATACACTACACTACACTATACACTACAATATACACTACACTATACACTACTGTACACTACACTATCCACTATACACTACACTATACGATACACTATACACTACACTATACACTACGATACACTACACTATACACAGCACTATACACTACTATACACTACACTATACACTACACTATACACTACACTATACACTACACAATACACTACACTATACACTATACTCTACTAAACACTACACAATACACTACACTATACACTACACTATGCACTATACACTATACACTACACTACTATATACACTACACTGCTATATACACTACACTATATACTAAACTACTATATACACTACACTACACACTACACTACTATATACACTACACTATACACTACACTATACACTGCAATACACTATACACTACACTATACACTACACTATACACTACACCATACACTACTATACACTACACTAAACACTACACTATACACTACAATACACTACACTACCATATACACTACACTATACACCACACTATACACTACACTACTATAAAAACTACACTATACACTACACTACTATAAAAACTACACTGCTATATACACTGCACTATACACTACACTGCTATATACACTATACACTGCACTACTATATATACTACTAATCCCTTTACTCACTCTCTCACTGAATCGCTCACCCACCCACTCACTCATTCACTCACCCCACACACTCTTGATGCACCCACTCACTCACTCACCAATTCATCCACTCCCTCATTGATCCCTTGACTCGCTCATTCACCCACTCATTCATTCACTCACCCACCCAATACCTCATTCGTCCCTTCACTCATTCAACCACTCAGCCCTCCCCCCCCCCCCAACTCGCTCTGTCATCCACCCACTCATTCACCGACCCAACCCGCTCACCCACTCGTTCACCCACCCACGCACTCACCCACCCACTCTTTCACTGACTCATCAAATCATTTCTACCGCGCCTTTAATGAGAAGCATGCTGGCCTGTTAAACGAGGCCAAGGGCTTACACTGATTTTAACATTTTATCTACATAATGACACCTTGCCGATATGAACTATGTTAACCTATTTGTATTTTTAATTTTTAAATGATATCTTAAAGCTATTTTATATTCGATATTTATTAAATTTTATATACTTCAGCCCCTTGGTGTTAGTTAGACTTTTAACCCTTATTATTAAAGTAAGACTTTTCGATTTAAAGCTTTCGTGACTGCAATGATTCATCTTCTTTGGTTCTTTCGGTAAAGTCACGTAGAATGAGAATAAAATAATAAATTGATAAAATAAAATAACACAATAATATTCTCACGACGTTTCGGCCACAACACAAGCGGCCTTCATCAGGTGAAGGGAGCGAGACTGTCTGGTAGGACAGCGCTGGAGTGAGAGAGCCACGTTCAGATCACGGCTTTTAAGTTGTGTGAGAGGAACAAAGAGCCTTAGAGTCGCGGCATCTCTTCAGAAAGGTGAGAGACTCGATTAGTTGAGCCTTCTTATCCCGAAGTCTGTTGAATGATCTTAAGGCTGTGTGGAATCCCTCCCCGTAGAGGCGGTTAAATTTCGATTTAAAGCTTTCGTGACTGCAATGATTCATCTTCTTTGGTTCTTTCGGTAAAGTCACGTAGAATGAGAATAAAATAATAAATTGATAAAATAAAATAACACAATAATATTCTCACGACGTTTCGGCCACAACACAAGCGGCCTTCATCAGGTGAAGGGAGCGAGACTGTCTGGTAGGACAGCGCTGGAGTGAGAGAGCCACGTTCAGATCACGGCTTTTAAGCTGTGTGAGAGGAACTTTACCGAAAGAACCAAAGAAGATGAATCATTGCAGTCACGAAAGCTTTAAATCGAAATTTAACCGCCTCTACGGGGAGGGATTCCACACATCCTTAAGATCATTCAACAGACTTCGGGATAAGAAGGCTCAACTAATCGAGTCTCTCACCTTTCTGAAGAGATGCCGCGACTCTAAGGCTCTTTGTTCCTCTCACACAGCTTAAAAGTCGTGATCTGAACGTGGCTCTCTCACTCCAGCGCTGTCCTACCAGACAGTCTCGCTCCCTTCACCTGATGAAGGCCGCTTGTGTTGTGGCCGAAACGTCGTGAGAATATTATTGTGTTATTTTATTTTATCAATTTATTATTTTATTCTCATTCTACGTGACTTTACCGAAAGAACCAAAGAAGAAAAAGTAAGACTTGTTTAAAACTTATTTAAGATTTTAGATTCCTATATGTTGAATGTATGCACCATCCTGCCAAAGTAAATTCCGTGTCGGTGTGACCTTTCATGGCAAATAAAAAAACCCTTTCTGATTCTGATTCTGATACCTAGCAGAGGTTTAACGCGCTGCTCGTTAAAAGCGTGGCCATTTGACAGACACGCATTCGCTGTGACCGGCCACCTACGTCTTCCCCGCTCCTGACGTTCGCACGACCACAACCCCTGCACTCATTTCGGGCCGAGTCGACCTAGGGCTGGTCCAGGACCCGAGTTCGATTCCCCGCTCACGGCCGCCACCGGTGACTTTCATTCGAACGGGGGTCTTGGGCCTCCGTGCCGGGTCGACTTTAAAGCCTCAAAGCCTCAAACCGGCACGTCACGTGCCCGCCACCCCCCCCCCCAAAGGGGTGGGTCGGCCATTTTTTTTCCTGCTGCGTGTTGAGGATGTCGAGCGACCTCTCCCTGCGTCGTTTTGCCCCCTGTAGGTAGACAAAGCTCCCCCCGCTCTCTCTCTCCCCCACCCCTCCCCCACCCCGAGGTAACATTACAACACGCGGGTTGGCTCAGGCCGCCGTCAGTAAGCAGCACCTGCGATGGTCCGGCGGGCTGTGGCGGGCACGAGCGGTTTGGGGAGGCCAGCACCACGTGGTTAGTGGGATATCGATCTGTCGGAGCTCGTGGTTGGCCAGAGGGGTCGGTGCTTCCCTTGCCCCTGCCCTTCTGCTACCCCCCGAAGCGCCCCCTTTACCACCTCCTTCCAAGCCCCTTAGAACCCTCCCCTGTTTGTGCGCGCGTTGAGCTTCCTCGGAGCTAATTGGAGGTGCGGTGGTCCGGGGGGGGAAGGGGTTAATCAAACCTGACGGGCAACCAGCAGCAAACAGCGGCGCTAAAGGAAACGAGTTTGTCAATCTCGATGATGATTGATGATGATGATGATTCTTCGATTTAAAGATTTCGCGTCTGCAGGGATTCATCTTCTGGGTTCTTTCGGTAAAGTCGCCGCGTAGAATGGGAATTAAATAATAATGACAATAAAATTTTGATTTAAAGCTTTCGTGACTGCAGTAATTCATATTCTTAGTTTTTTCGGTAAAGTCACGTTGAAGAGAAACAACAAAATAATATAATATATAAAACAATAAAAATTCTCACGACGTTTCGACCATAACTCAAACCATTTGTTTTATATATATTATATTATTTTGTTGTTTCTCTTCAACGTGACTTTACCGAAAAAACTAAGACAATAAAATTCTCACGGCGTTTCGGCTAGAAGATGACGATGATGTAAAAGTGCATCGTAGCTTGGCAATATCGCGAGGGAAGAGCGTTCCAGACGGGCACGTACGAACGCCAGCATCGTGACCACGAAGCCATACCATCTCCTAACCACCCCCCCCCCCCCTAGCCATCCAAGTAATTTACTTCGCGTTCATACCGGATTATAAAAGAACAACAAAACAACATTAGGTCACATAAGGCTCTCAATAAATACACTGCTATACACTACTATACACTACGCTATACACTACACTGCTGTACACTAGACACTACGATACAGCATGCTTGAAAAAAATATTAACACTTACATGAGACCATCGTTTTTAATTGAATGCACTGTAGCACGATAACGAACATAATTTTTGATTTAAAGATTTCGTAACAGCATGGATTCATATTCTTGGTTCTTTCGCTAAAGTCACGTCGAAGGGAAACAATAAAATAACAAAAAAAACAATAAAATTCTCACGACGTTTCGACTGCAACGCAAGCAATCATCATCAGGTGTGAATACCACAGCAAGCAAATTTTCAAGCTGTGGTTTCCTGCTGTGGGTTTCACACCTAATGATGATTGCTTGTGTTGCAGTCGAAACGTCGTGAGAATTTTCTTGTTTTAGATTTGTATTGTTTTATTGTTTCCCTTCTACGTGGTGGCTTTACCGAAAGAACCAAGAATATAATGACAAACGTAATGTTGATTGCTTCTTGAAGTCAAAGAGTCTCCACTTGTTCGCCATCATTGTCAACGCACGCCTGGAATCTTCCCCAGGTGGTCTCCGCTGCCCAGAGGCACCTTTCTCGCTGTATTGTTTTCATGTTTTTGAAGGACCCTGTACACTGCACTGCTATACACTGCACTATACACTACACTATATACTACACTATGCACTACACTATACACTACTATTCACTACTATACACTACACTATACACTACTATACACTACACTATACACTACTATACACTACTATACCCTACACTATGCACGACACTGCTATACACTAGACGATACACTATACACTACACTA